CTACAAGAGTGGTGTTATCAACAAAAATAGAGAAGTCAGGACTTGAACTGCTTTAATGGGAAGATAGGTTTGCTTTTTACTGTCCAAGTAGAAAATGCGTTTAAGACAACTAGATGGAGATATTTAACAAACAAGTAGAAATGAAGCTAGGAGATCAAAAGAGGCCTTGAAACTGGAGACAGATTTTAAATCTGCTTGGTGTTAATAATGGAAGCTGGATAATTTATTAATTCTGCTTTGTTGATGAGTAGTAGGTGCTCGATGATCATCTTTTATTGCTGTTGTTGAAAAGAAAGAATTGTCTAGACAACCAACATTTAGAATAAGAGGAGGTGATGGAGAGTCCAGAGAAATGACTAGGAAGAGAGACAGAAGGAAAAACAGGATTCTACAGGGTCTTGGTTACCTACGGCAGAAAAAGTCAAGAAGGACAGGTGGTCCAATGTGGGAAATGCTAGAGGGAGGCTAGGGAAACTGTGGACTGAAAAAAATCTTTGGATTTGGCCACTGAGTAATCCTTAACATGTAAGCTTCATGAGGGAAGATATTTTTGTTTGTTAAAAGACTGCCTGTCATTGCCCTGGCCAGGTGGCTCAGTTGGTTGGACCATTGTTCTGTGCACCAAAAAGGTTCGATTCCCAGTCAGGACACATACCTGGGTTTAGGTCGGGGTTCGTGCAGGACGCAGCTTATCAATGTTTCTCTCTCGATGTTTCTCTCTCACATTAGTGTTTCTCTCTCTCTAAAAATCAATGATACTAAAAAAAAAAAAAAATCCTCGGGTGAGGATTAAAAAAAAAAGCAGCACTAGCCGGTTTGGCTCAGCGGTTAGAGCGTCGGCCTGTGGACCAGAGAGTCCCAGGTTCGGTTCCCACTGGGGGCATGTACCTCAGTTGCAGTTTGTCCCTGGCCCTGGTTGGGGTCATGTGCGTGGCAGCCACTCGATGTGTCTCTCTCACGTCGATGTTTCTCTCTCTCCCCCCCCCTCCTTCCCGCTCTGTCTGAAGATAAATGTAGGAAAAAAAAAAAATCACATTATGTCACTTTTCCTGCTTAAAATGCTTCATTGGCTTCCCACTGAACATAGGATAAAACCAAACCACACCACATTGCCTGAGATGGCAAACCTTGTACAACCTGGCCTAGAGCTTCAACTGACCTATATACCACTTTCCCTCTTAAACATTAAGTTCCTACCAGTTCCTTTTATGCCTTGATCATGCTGATCTTGTTCCTGCATTAGGGCATCTGCACATGATTCCCTTTAGCTAGAATACCCTATCCAGGCTTTTCACCTTGTTAATTCCCTTCTCATCCTTTAGGTCTGTATTCATATGTTACCACTTCTCCAGAGATGGAACCTGAGTACCTGGTTGAAAGTACTTCTTTCCTCAGTCACTATTGTCCTCAGATGACCTTGTTTTATTTCCTTCTTAGCACTTCCCAAGGTCTGGAATTATCTTGTTTATTTATGTGTTTGTTGTCTGTCTCTTCCCATTAGAATATAAGATATGTAAGCAGAGAGAAAATGCAAATATTGGGGGGAATAACTGCTAAATTTAAAGTGCAGGAAAAATGCCCGGCTGGTGTGGCTCAGTGGTTGAGCGTCAACCCACACACCGAGAGGTTGCCAGTTCGATTCCTGGTCAGGGCACATGTCCAGGTTTCTTTCTCTCTCTCTCTCTCTCTCTCTCTCTCTTCCCTTCCTCTCTCTCTAAAATTGATAAAAGAAAAAAAATAAAATTCAGTTAAAGCAAAAGGAGATGGGATCAAGAGCTCCAAGGGAAGCCCTGGCTGGGTGGCTCAGTTGGTTAGAGCATTGTTCCCATATGCCAAGGTTGTGGGTTCAATCCCTGGTCATATACAAGAATCAACCAATGAATTCATGGATGGGTGGAGCAATGAATTTATGTTTCTTTCTTTCTCTCTCAGATAAAAATAAAATAAAATAAAATTAAATAAAAATAAAAATAAAAATAAAATAAAATAAAATAATAAAATAAAATAGCTTTGTCCTGGCTGGTTTGGCTCAGCGGTTGGAGCGTCAGCCTGTGGTCCAGAGAGACCCGGGTTTGGTTCCCACTAAGGGCATGTACCTCAGTTGCAGTTTGTCCCCGGCCCTGGTTGGTCGTGTGTGTGGCAGCCACTCGATGTGTCCCTTTCACGTCGATGTCTCTCTCTCTCTCTCTCTCTCTCTCTCTCTCTTCCTCTCTCTCCCTCCCACTCTATCTGAACAAAAAATGAAAAAATGTCCTCAAGTGAGGACAAAAAAATAAAATAAAAGAGCTCCAAGGGAGGAATGAAGTGCTCTTTTTTCCTCTGAAACAAGAGCAAGGTAGGTAGAAGAGAGCAGAAACATTAGGGAATCTGAGGTATAATGCATTATGCAATCTGATGAGTTCTTTTCCCATCAGCCTTTAGTTACATGGTTAAATTGGTTATGGGAATAGCAGCAAACTACTTGATTTTACCTTGCCAGCTGGCTCTGTGAGATACGTTGTGTTTATGGGTTGGAGAACAGCCTTTTCTAGATTATTTTCTCCTTGTCTCTACTAGGCTTAGCAAGAGAATCACTAGCCCAGATCATGTATGTAAAAAGTGCTTTGAGAACTGTTAAGGTCTTTACAGATGTTACTGCTGTTATTGTACTGTGTGCATGATTCTTGAGGAGGTACACCCTGCCTGAAGCACTGGGAAGGAATGTCTGTGTGAAGGCCCACCATGCCACCAGTGGGGCTTCAGCATTCTTCTGAGAGACAGCGAGTTCAGGTTTACAATGCATTTGGTTTTTACTAGGGGCTTAGAAGTGACTAATCATTATATTCACATCACTCTGCTGTGAAAGATTACAATAATGTTATTATAACCCCATTTTCTCTTGAAAGGTGGAAATAAGATTTGCTCCAGACTAAACAGGAAGTCAGTAATAAAATTACGGCCACTGGCTAATCCAGGCTTTCTGACTACATGCATTACATCTTTTATGTATTCTAAGGTTCAGGCTGACAACTACCAGCAACACTATTTGCCTTGTTTTTGGTTGTTCACCCCTTCCCTCACCCCTATCCTAGTGTATATAACCAAGGTATGCATGCATTGTATATCATGGTGTATGAAAGACAAATAAGGAAAATATTAAATATGAGTACATATTTATAACTACCTATTTCCTGGTGTTTGGGATTGCAGATTTCCTTTGTGCTGCTGGGAGATGCTGGGAAAGCTGTGGAAGAGAGAGATGTTGGCAGTGGGTGGGAAGTTGCAAATGAAGAACCAGCATAAGCAGCCTGATTTAGGGGTGGGGAGAGCCATGGTGAAGATCTGGCAGTTACCACCAAGTTATTGATTTGTAATAAGTTAGATTGGATAAGGCCCACAGGAAACTTCCATAAAAGATTAACATTACTTGTCTCCAAATATTTACAGTTGCATTATGCTCCCCTCACTTCTCTTTTACTTTCTTTTTTCAATTTGTCATTTTGAAATCGGACTTGAGGCAGAGTGGCTTGAGATGGCTGAAGTACATCCCAGAACAGTCCATATTCTATGAGAATCAAGGGATGGCCTGACTGGAGCACTGGAGCTTCAATTTTGACCACAATTAACACTTTATTCCTGAGGCTATAGATACATTGGGAGCCAAAGAATTTTCCAGAATATTGCTAGAGTTAGCAAACAGTGCATAGCGACTATGGAGGGGTTGCATTCTCTGCCCCTGCTCAGTTGTCTAGGCTACTACCAGTTTAGGTGCAAATCAGCCAAGTTTCCTATGAGACCCTCCCTCCTCACCTCCTTCTCTAACAGCTTGGGGAGCCTAGTTTCTGACCAGAACACATAGGCCCTCTGGACCTCCCCCTTTGTAATAACAGTCCTTTCCCTATTTCAAAAGATCCCTGGGATACTTTCTCCCACCTCAAACCCAGGCCAGAGGGGGAAAAAAAAAAAATCAAATAAGCCACACTCATCTCTGATTACAGCCCATTACATGCAATTATGCATCAATTACCCTGTAGTCTCACAAACATGCACAAATTAATATCCAGAACATGTATAAATAAGTTTTGTACCTAATATTTACATATTCCTTAATAGTAAATCTAGTCTGTATGGCGATTCTTGTCAACATGCATATCTGTATCTTTCTAGGCTCACACATGTTTTATCACTATTTTTTTCTGCTTTGCTTTTGTTTGGGGATGTGCTACCTTTTATGCATGGTAAAAAGTGTCCCAGCATTGGAAGATCCTGAGTTTGAATCTTGTTTTTCTCATTATTATGTCTTGTATAAAGGGGAACCATCTGAGGAGAAAGAGTAGGTAGATAGATTTGGAGAATCAGTGGCCCCATAAAACCACCATAATTCCCACAGACAATGTTAGGTGTTCTAAACCGCTGGGAATACTTTTTTCTGAGACATTTCAAACGTGCTTTGACGTCAGGGCATGTCAAGGCCTGCCCAATGACCTCACCTACGTTGTGAATACGTCGCTGGTCCGCACAAGTTCGTCCATTTACTTTGGGTTTGAGTATTGTTTTAAGTTCTTGAGTGGAGAGAAATCCAAAAGATCTGACTCTGATATAACTAACATTATCTTAGGCCACGAGACTAACAATCAGAGTACAATATGAGCGACTTAGGAGGTGCTACGGTGCATGAGTCTCCCCACCCCCTTTCCCGGGCGCCGAGGTTCTGGCCACAAAAGTGAACCCCTGACAACGCCTTACCTACACTGCCTGCCCGCTACCCGGCTCCCTGCAACCCACGCGCGCATGCGCACACCGCGCGGCTCGAGAGGGGCGGGCCCTGGCTGCCATCTTGCAGCGCGCGGGAGCCGCCGCCGCCGCCGCCGCTGCTCGCCCCAAACCTGGGCCGGAGCTGGGGGTGTCTAGCTCAGACCGCATTCCTTTTCCATTGCCAGCCCTGCGCAAAAACCCAGCCGAGCCTGCCCAGCTCCCACTCTAGGCCAATGAACTGACCCACCGCCCGCACCAGACTCTTGGCAGCGGCTCGTCCCGGTGCCCACCCCCGCGAAACGGAGCGCCCAGCCACCCAGCCTCCTCGCCCGCCGCGATGCCGAGCGTGCAGCTGCCGCCGAAGGAGAGCAACCTCTTCAAGCGCATCTTGGTAAGTGGCGGGAGGCTGCGCCTTCGCTCCCCGGCGAGACCCGGGCCCCGCGCGGAGAGCGGTCTGGCGGCGGCGCCTGCGAGGGCCGACTGGGACCCCGCTCTGCTCTTTGTTTACCTCGGAGCCGGCAAGACCGCACTCCCCGCCTCCGCCGGCCCCGCCGGGCCGCCCGCGTCCCCGGCCAGCAGACGAGGCCACCCGGGCCTGCTCCGCGCGCCTCCTGCCTGTGCGGCGGCTCGCCTGGGCCTCCGCGCCGCCCAGGAACTTCGCGTCGCCCTCCGCAGTCACGCCGGGCGCGGGCGCGTCGGCCAGGTGCTGGCGCCCGTGCCCTCTGCGGAGCCCTGCGGCCCGACTGCGACCTCCGGCGTCCCTCCGGGCTGGATTCGTTTGCCAGCCTCTCCTCGGCGAGGTGTTCTTGCCCTGCTTTGTGTTTGATCTGCTGCACGCTAAAGCCGGAGCGCTCCTGTGGTGGGGTGGAGTTCGCCTGCGTACTGGCTACGGGAAAAAGGGGGAGACTGTGCCCGGTTTGGGGGTACTTATTATCCGCCTTGGGAAGTGAAAAGGGACATGAACTACATTTCTAAATTATAAAGTCGACTCTGATCGCCCATAACTCACACAGGACCTGCCTTGAGAAAGTGGTGAAAAGCTTTGCGGACCGGCTGGTTTTGCACTTAAGGAGCATTTACTTTGTTTCTGGGCAGAACCTGAATAACGACCCCGTAGCGATGACCGCGGGCCGGCGAAGTGTCTTTCCTGTGTGTCGTGTGCCAGCGCCCTGGGTGTCTGCGCGGTTTTCTAGGTTCCCGGTCTTCCGCGGGGGACGGGCGGCACGGACGCCTTTGCTTCTCGCGGCGAACACCGGGGCCGTGGATGTTAAACTCCTGTCGTGAATAGCCGTTTTTTCCTACTTTGTCTTTTCATCTGAACATAAGCGTTTAGATTTTTAAGGGTGAATTTATTATTTAGAGCTTGTGTTATGTGACTTAGCAATAAATACTAAGTTTAGAATGTTTTAGGTATTATTAACAGCAGCTAAAAATTCATAGTCGCTGTTCTGTTTCTGACCAATAGAACTTCGCACTAAATCCTTACTTTCGTTTTTCTCATACATTTATATTTTTCACAGTATGGAATTGGAGAAGTGGGAATTTTTTTGCCCCTTTCAGGTGGAATTTTTGGGGATCTAGGGGATCTGAAATATCTTAATAAAAAATCATCTATGAATTGTTAGATGTCAGGACATTTGGCAGTATCTCTAAAAGATGACAGAACACTTGCTTTCTCTATATATGGGTACTTGTAGTTCAAACCATGGTATCAGTAGAATAACGAAAAACAACTCAGTGATTTATTATACTCTAGTTATAAAAAAGTTAAAGCTGCTACAGAATTAACTTTACTCCCAAATAAATTGGGAAATGCTAAGCATTTTCTTATCTGGGTATGTAATATTTATTATAAGGTTACATGAATTTAGGAGGGTGCTGCAAAGGTAAATGATTTAATCATCTCAGAATTCCAATAATGTGGGTAAAATTTTGCTATAATAAATTCTGTGGCAAATTGAAGTTTCTAAAATAAAATTATTATCTATTTTTAAATTCTCACCTGAGGATATTTTTTCCATCGATTTTTAGATAGAGTGGGAGGGAGGAAGAGAGAGAGGGAGGGAAGGAGGGACAGAGAGGGAGAGAGAGAGAGACAGAGACATGGATTGGTTGCCTCCTGCACGACTTCAAGGAGGGGTGGGAATCTAACCTGCAACCCAGGTATGTGCCTTTGTCTGGAAATTGTACCCAAGACTCTTTGGTCCACGGGCTGACGCTCTAACCGCTGAGACAAACTGACCAGAGCTATAATAAAATTATTATGATGATTATTATGTTTTTATTTTTGTTGATTTTAGGGAGAGAGGCAGAGGGAGAGAGATAGAAACGTCCATGAGAGAGAACATCGACTGGCCGCCTCCTGCATGTCCCCCACTGGGGATCGGGCCCACAACCTGGGCATGTCCCCTGACCAGAATCGAACCAACAACCTCTTGGTGCATGGATCGACACTCAACCACTGAGCAACACCGGCCGGGCAATAAAATTATTATAAAGTTTGGTTGGGAGACCAAAGTGTTTTGTCACCAACAGTAAATTTTTATTAATTATCAGTGTACATAAACACACCCATACAAATTCACCAGCCAGCTTATGGCATGGTCTGCATGGCTTATGCTTACCTAATCTTATTCCTCCCTAACTGGGTCTTAGCATTACATTTTGTTAAATTTTGGAGCTCTTCTCCATGCCCTCTTTTATGGATGAAACAGTCAATACCAGGAATGGTAAATGACTTACTGTCTAAGGTTCTCTGTTTAGTTGGTAGCAAAGTTGAAACTAGAATCTATCTTTTCTACTAAGTATATATTCCTTACTGAACTTAAGACTTCTTTAACTTGAGTACTTGGGTACTGGAAGTAGACTGCCTCTGTTTGAAGTGTGGCTCTGATGCTAGCTGTGAAAACTCAATAACTGTGTGCCTCAGTTGCTCCATCTAAAAAGGAAATAACATCCATCTCATAAGCTTTCCTGGCATTTCAGTAAAGATTAAATGAGAATGGTGCCTGGCACATAGTAAATGTTCCAGTAAGTGTTAACTATTATTATTATTGTTATTGGTAGTATGATTATTACTTTTGAGATCACTTGGTAAGTAGAAAAAAATATGTTTCTGTTCTTTTCCTCTTTCTTGGTAGTTCCTTCTGCTTTTTTTCTCGTCATTTGTCAAGGGAACTCCTATAGCCACACTCAGATTATTATTATTTTTTACTTTAAAATATTTTTGGAATAGATAATATGTTTGAATGATTCAAAATTCAGGTTTCTGTCCTGTCCATGTCTCCCAACCACTAAGTTTCCTTCCCCAGAGGCAATCAAGAAGCCTCAATATAGTTTGTCCCCGGCCCTGTTGGTCGTGCGGGTGGCAGCCACTCATGTGTCCCTTCACGTCGATGTTTCTCTCTCTCTCTCTCTCTCTCCCTTCCTCTCTCTCCCTCCCACTCTATCTGTACAAAAAATGGAAAAATATCCTCGGGTGAGGATAAAAAACAAAACAAAACAAAAAAAAAGGAAGCCTCAATATAAACATTATTTTTTCTATGAACATTTTTAAAAAATTTTCCCATCCACATCCCACTCCTGCTGCAAGGATTAATCACTTCCTCCTCTTTTTCTGGTACCATTTTTCTTTGAACTTATTAGGCTGTACTTATTGAGCAGTACATACTTGTCTAGAACCTGAGGATGCAGGAGTATTTAAAATAGGCAAGATTCCTGTTCTCAAGGAGTTTACAGTGGGGAAGATGCTAAATAAGTAATCACATAAATAGGAATTTCAGGAAATGATAATGCTGTGTAGAAAATAGAATAATGTGTTAGAGAAAATGTTTGTGTGTTGGGAGGTAGGATCCTGGCAGTATTAGATAGAGTGGTCAGGTAGGTGACATGTGACACTCAGATCATAAGGAATTAACCACAAAAAGACCTGAGGAAGAACATCACAGGTAGAAGGAACACATCTATCCCCTACAGTGGGGATAAGCTGGGCATAAGTACTAGAAAGAACACCTATAATACTATAAGTGAGAATGTGAGTGAAAAGAGATACGATGTTCTTACGATCAGTGGCTGTGGAAAAGTTACTGATTACTTAGCCTGGCTGGTGGTGGTTAGGTATAAACAGGTTGCTTGCACTTACATTAGACTAGTGATGGAAAGACCATGATCTTTGGAGTCATACCAGAATTTGCAACTAAACCGAGTCACTTACAAACACATTTTATGAACATTTTCCACATCTGTTAGGTGGAGGTAATGACACCTATCTTAAGGGATTAATATGAGTTATAACAAGTATTGTGGAGACTCATAATAGGTTTCTTAATAAGTAGCATTATTTTGTGTGTGTTTCTTGGTTTTATTCTTGAGGTAGCAAAGGCTTTTAGTATTTTTCTATGTTGTTATCACATATATTTTTGCTTTGGGATTTTGAATTTTAAAAAGCTGTAGCAGTATTGATTGACAGTTAAATTCCCTGTTTATGAAGTGTTTTTTTCTTTATCTTTTTTAAAAATGAAAATAGACACTGGAAGAGTTGGGCAAGGAGTAGGTAACAGAAGTACACTTCATGTTATAAATGATATAAATTGACTCAAAATCTTTCCATCACATATGTTTTTAGACCTCATTTTGGATCTTGAATTTAGAATTTATATAAAAGTTGCTCTGTGTGTATTTATAAAATAATGTTTGTTCATATTTCTTTACAGAAATGTTATGAACAGAAGCAATACAAAAATGGCCTCAAGTTTTGCAAGATGATTCTTTCAAATCCAAAATTTGCTGAACATGGAGGTATTGTCTTACCTGTGAGAGATTGTTATATATAAATATGACACTACTAATTAGATTGTTTATCTTGAGTTGTTTTTCTAGCACTGGTATTAATAAGTCTATATTTGCTTGTCTCATCCTTTTTCACTGGTCACGAGTGTTTTTTAAAAGGATGGATCAGGTTAGATATGCAAATTATGATCCTATAGCAAAGCAAAGCTAACTGGGGTCTTGTAATATTACACTTGGGTAATTCTTGAGACTATCTTATGGGAAAATAGGAAATAGGTTGGCTTGGCTGACCTTTTTTTTTTTTTTTTTAATTTTTTTTTTATCCTCACCCGAGGACATTTTTCCATTTTTTGATCAGATAGAGCAGGGGGATGAGAGAGGAAGAGAGGGAGAAACATCGATGTGAAGGGACACATCGAGTGGCTGCCACCTGCACGACCAACCAGGGCCGGGGACAAACTGCAACCCAGGTACGTGCCCTTAGCGGGAACCGAACCCGGGTCTCTCTGTACCGCAGGCCAACGCTCCAACTGCTGAGCCACACCGGCCAGGGCTTGGCTGACCTTTCTAATAGTGAAAATCTTTTAGGAAATGTAAAGAAGTCTTCATTTCATAGAATTTTAGAAATTTAAAGCTTATTTTCAAGCCATTTCACTATGGAACCATTATCTAAATGGAAGCTTGTGGGGAAGTTCTTTTTTTTTCTTTATTAATCCTCACCCGAGGACATTTTTCCATTTTTTGTTCAGGTAGAGTGGGAGGGAGAGAGAGGAATGGAGAGAGAGAGAGGAACATCGATGTGAAAGGAACACATCGAGTGGCTGCCACCCGCACAACCGACCAGGGCCGGGGACAAACTGCAACCGAGGTACATGCCCTTAGCAGAAACCGAACCCGGGTCTCTCAGGACCGCAGGCCGACGCTCTTAACTGCTGAGCCAAACCGGCCAGGGCGGAAGTTCTTTATGTATAAATAGAAAAAAGATGTTTGGTTATAGGGGCTTAAACTGTTCTATTACTGTGTTCTGAAAACCAGAATCCACAGAGATCAATTTGAAAATAATTGTTCTTGTCTAATTCCCTTTAGATTATTTTTTTGTGGATTATTCAGAGAGTTATTTCACTCTAAAGCATCTTTCATTAACTACCTTAACCATATTTTTGGGTTGCCACTCCTGTAGTCCAGTGTTGCATCTTTGAAATGCAAAAGAATATTAATTAACCTAATTAGAATTATTTGGAATAAACTTGCCAAAAATGCAATCCATTCCAGTATTGAGTAAGGTGAATTTTTTTCTTTTTATTAAGGTAGATTGCTTTATGGGGTGTAAATCAGATTTGATTCTTGATTAGAATTGCTCTCAGGTGAAAGGCATAGTAGATTTAACTCAATAGGATTCAGGTGCCTGCTGTGTTACCTTCTCTCAGTAGAATAATCTTATCCACCCTTAGAGAGTCTTCTAAGGAGCAGAAAGCATTTTAACAACTCTCCCTGCCTAAGAAATTTCAGAAAAGGACCTGAGCTAAACTTTAAGCAAATATTTAAAATGGAGAGAAGTTCTCCTAAGTATGGAATTAAAAAGATGAATGATATAAACATGGCAAGTCTTTTTTTTTTTTTAAACATGGCAAGTCTTAAATGTTAAAATAGTGCTAATTTGAATCTTTCATGTGTAAATAGAGGTTAAAAATATTTTTCAGAGACTTTGGCTATGAAAGGCTTAACATTGAACTGTTTAGGAAAAAAAGAAGAAGCATATGAATTTGTTCGTAAAGGACTTCGTAACGATGTCAAGAGTCATGTCTGTATCCTTTTGCAGTGGTTAATTTAATTTTATATATGTATTGTCCATTTACTAGTTTTTTTCTAATTTAGTTAAGAACTTTACTGTAAACAAATTCAAACCTATATAGAAGAGAATTTGATGAATTCTATGTACTGATTACTCAACTTCAGTAATTATCAACATTTTGTAGTATTTAATCTGTTCCCTATGCCTCATTTTTTATGTTTTGGAGTATTTTGAAGAGAATCCCTATGCAGTATGTATTTATTTCAGTTGTGCTTAGTGTAAGTGAATTGTAACTTTGGTAATTATATGCGACTTGAAACCTGTTTTCCTATACATCCATAAAGTAAGTGATACTTTTCCATCATTCCAAATAACTTACCTGTATAGTAAACTTGCAGAGTAAAATTGTATTATTTAAACTTTTGTTTAAGAATTTTAGGAGAAAAATTCAGAAGAAATTTGTTTTAAAACATTTTATTTGGTATTAAGTATGATAATATATTGGTTCTTCAGCTTATCTCAGTCACATAGGGACGTAGCTATTTTCACTGATACTCATAATGGTATTTTTCTTTTTAACTATTTTTTAAATTGATTTTAGAGAGAGAGAGGAAGGGAGAAGGAGAGAGACATAGAATCAATGATGAGAACATCGACTGGCCGCCTCCTGCATGCCCCCCACTGGGGATCGGGCCCATAACCTGGGCATGTGCTCCTACCAGGAATCAAACTAGTGACCTCTTGGTGCATGGGTTGACACTCAACCACTGAGCCACACTGCCCAGGCCATAATTGTATTTTTCTATGTCTAGTATCCAGCGTGTAAAAAAAAAAAATTCTTTTTAAGGCTGGATCATTGAAATTAAATTTAATTTCTGTTTTGTTTATCTGTATGTTTATTTACAACCTTTTCACGTATTGTCCTGTTTCTTAATTTTGTTTACATTTAATTTATCTATCTATGGGCCAGTATTGAACATCAGTAGTCTTTTTTAAAAAAAAATTTCTCCTTTATTGATTTTAGAGAGAAGAAAGGAGAGAGAGAGTGAGAAACATCAATGAGAGAGAACATCGATTGGCCTGCTTCCTGCACGCCCCTCACTGGGGATTGGGCCCACAACCTGGGCACGTGCCCTGATTGGGAATTGAACCGGCAACCTCTTGGTGCATGGGTCGATGCTTAACCAGTGAGCCACACCAGCTGGGCAGTAGTCTTTTTTAAATCCTCACCCGTGGATATTTTTCCATTTATCTCATAAAGAGTGGGAGGGAGGGAGAGGGTGAGAGTGAGAGAAACATTGATGTGAAAGAGACACATAGACTGGCTGCCTCCCGCACGACCCCGACCAGGTCTGGGGATGAACTGCAACCCAGGTATGTGCCCTTGATTGGAATTGAACCCACGACTCATTGGTCTGCGGGCTGATGCTCTAACCGTTGAGCAAAACAGGCCAGGGCTGAACATCAGTAGGGTTCTCTCAAAATACTAAATACTTATTTCCTTGTCCCAGTGCTTACTCCCAAGTGAAGAGAGAGGGCATGTAAGTATGATCATTCTTTTGGCTCCAAGATATGCTAAGAATTTAATTTATAATAAATAAAAACTTAATTTTATGGTTTTAAATATCATTGGTGAATTAACTGATGGTTACATGTTTTAGAATTGATTGGATATAAATTTGTTTTAAAAGATCATTGCAGTTTTTTGTGTATTCTGTTTCAGTACAGTAAGTGAATGTTGAGGTGCTGGGGTAGGAAACTGAAGAAGAGTGAGGGACTAGAATGTACGGAACATGAAGAATTTTACCAAGAATTTCTAAGGTTACTTTAAAAATGGAACATTTCAAGCATGTACACAGAAAAAGAGAATAGAATAATGAATTCTCACATGCCTAGCACCCTGCTTCAATAATTTAACTACTTGCTCACTATCCCCTTCCCTCTGACCCAAGATCATTCTGAAGTAAATCTCAGACAAAATACCATTTTGTTGAAGTAAGCTTTATATTAGATATAAACTGTGTAGCATAGTTTTTCTAGTACCTGTGAATGTTTGTATTTCCTTAACTTAATAGGTTGGCATGTATATGGACTCTTGCAGCGTTCTGATAAGAAATATGATGAAGCTATTAAGTGTTACCGAAATGCCCTCAAATTAGATAAAGATAATCTGCAAATTTTGAGGGATCTCTCTCTGTTGCAGATCCAAATGAGAGATCTTGAAGGTTACCGAGTAAGTACTTTAGTCTTAAGTGTACACATTTTTACAACAGATATAATTTAAGAGCATATGACTTCAGAATGAGATGAGCATAAGCCAAGGTCATGTAGATTTGATTGTTCATTATAGTCTGTAGAAGGGAAAAGTCACTTGGGACCTTCCCCCAATAATTGTTGCAGAACTGCATACTTCACCATCAAAAAAGGATAACTTTATTTATTTAATGCTTTAAAAAAAATTATACCATCTCTTGTGTACAAATGCTGTACTAGATTCTTTGTGGGTTTGACATTGACATATTTGGTAAACAGAATGTTTATAATTGAAATCTAAATGTAGAGATTAATTAGCTTTATTATGGGTTAGTAAATATAAAATAATGTGAGAAGGATTGCCATACATCAGTCTTTCTGTAGTCCAGACCTCTTCAAACTGGCATCTTCAGCTCTGCTGGGCATCTCCATATATATCCTAAATTCATTATATCCAAAGGGTAATTCTCTTATTTTCTTATGTGAAAGAGGCTACCAATTATTAACAGTTCTTCTCAAATAAATCTTTCATTTACTTTTTACTTTTGCCCTTCTGCCATATAAGTCCTTATACCCTATTCCTAGATTTTTACAGAAGTTTCAAGAGTTTTGCTGATCTTGAAAATAAACACTTTTCAAGGTTGTGTGGTTTTTCTTCAGCAGTACTTAGCAGTCTGGGTGTGGTGAGAGTTTTAGTTATATTTAGGTATAAGGCAAAGATATTAAGAATACTGGCATGAGAGTGGTTCCTGAGAGGGATAGTGAAATAAATTAAGATAAAAGAGCTAATGGTTAGAAGTGAAGGACCCAAGAAAGTAGATGTACTGGTGGTGTCCTCTTAAGAACAAGGGTAACAATATTACTAAGTGAAAATATTTGCAGCATTGGTGCTGTGGCCAGAGAGTGAGATATATTTTATTTCTCTTAATCTTTATTGTTGAAAGTATTACAGATGTCCCCCCTCTTTTTCCCTTTGACCCCATCCACCCTGCTCCCATCCCCCGAGAGAGAGATATTTGAATTTATGATTTCTGGGTGGCAAATAAGGTCTAGGACTGTGATATTCAACTTTTTTCATCTCATGGCACACATAAACTAATTACTAAAATTCTGTGGCACACCAAAAATATACTTTTTGCTGATCTGACAAAAAAATATAATTTTGATTGATTTACCAAAAAAAAAGTAATTACCTACCCTTTTTGCTCCAAAGTGACTTTTTAAAAAATCAGGTGCCTATACTTGTATATAAGGATTTCTGGTACCAAGGGTTAACCAGTCAGATGCGACCTTATTATGTGGCATGGCCAATAAGATACAACTCTGTTATATGACCTCTGTATTTATAGTTCAAGACAGGGCATTGACACTGGTTGGCTGTTGTCATTTCTTTATTTGGCAATCTAAAGGAAAAAGAGGTCAGTGGCCCTGACTAAATAGCCAGGTATTGCATGTTTTAAAAATTCTTTTGGCACACCAGTTGAAAATTGCTGGTCTAGGATGTGGTTGTGGGAGTGGGTCTCTGAAGGAGAGGTTAGAGGATATCATTAAAGGTGAGGACATCTTAGATCTAAGAAGAAAGGTTGTTGGATGGGTAATCTACAGTGTTCCATCTGCCCAGGATAATGGTAGGATTTGGCAGAAAGAAGAAAACTGATCCAGACTTTAATGAAGGAAGGAGTGGAGTGACAAAAGCAACAGTGAAAATAAGGAATGAGAGTGGTAATAGCTTAATCTGTATGCCTAAAAGGAAACACACTTACACATGAAGATAGAGGAGTGATACTAAGTTGTTTTGTCAATGCTATTTTTAAAAAAATGAAGATCTGACTTCAGTCAAGATGGCGGCGTAGGTAAATGCGGTACTTGCCTCTTCCCACAACCACATCAAAATTACCACTAAACTACAGAACAACCATCATTCCGAACCTCCTGACATTGAGCTGAATGGAAGTCCTACAACTATGAAATTAAAGAAGAAGCCACATAGAGACTGATGAGAACACTGAGGCCCAGAAACAGTTTTCCTCACAAGAAGACCAAATAGCAACTATCTATAGAGGAGACACCACTGTAACAATCCAAGAACTCAGAGAGGCTGAAGCAACCCTCAGAGCACAGACACCAAGAAGGACCTCATTAGGGCCTTCACTGGACACCAACTCTGCCAGCATCTTGGTCTTGGACTTTCAGACTCCAGAACTATAAGAAAATAAATGTCTGTTGTTGAAGCCAAATTAAATAAATAAATAAATAAATAAATAAAAAAGATCTGATCATTTTACTCCTTTGGCATATAGTGAGAATGGCACCTATTCCAATAACAGAGTCATGGAATCTAAACACTACATTTTCAAAATTCTGTTGCAGTTTTTGATGAGACCCTGCTCCTCTAAGCAGTTGCACTTGCCTAAAACTTGGAGGCAAATACGAGCAATAAAGAAGTGAGGTCTGTGTAGGGAGGCTGGATTTTCTGCTAACGAAGATATCTTGATTTCTCTGGGGCAGACATAGTGGAATTTCTGGTGTTTTCTTCCTAATGTCATAGATACTGACCTGTCTTAAGAGGGGCAGCAGTGGTGTTTCTGCTGAAAAGCCCTGTCAAATGTTTGAGAGTTTCCCCTGGCTGTGTCCATTCTGTCTCTGGGGCCTACTATAACAATGTAAATTCATCGTAATTGCATGTAATAATTTCATAAACAGCAGTATTTAATTCAGTAAAAAACTATCTTAATCTCTCTTCTAAGGTGTATAATTACCAAAAAATTCTATTATATAAAGGTAATTTTATAAGTCAGCCCTAAAGCATGGGCCCTAGGGTCCACATTTTGGTGACAGCCTTACAGTGAGTATTATGAAGTATTTTACAACTTAAGTAATTCACATAAGGCACACAAAAAGTTTTTCTATTCTGTTGTGGAACTTACATTAATTGAATTCATTGGAGAGGAATTAAAGATATTGAATTATTTTTTGAAAACTGATGAAATATAAATACAGAAAGTTAAAAAGTAAAAAAAGTTAAAAAGACAAATTTATTTATTTTTTTAAGGAGACAAGGTATCAGCTTCTTCAGTTGCGCCCAACACAGCGTGCTTCCTGGATTGGATATGCTATTGCATACCATTTGCTGAAAGATTACGACATGGCACTGAAACTATTGGAAGAATTTAGACAAACTCAGCAAGTAAGAAGTTCATTTTAACATTTTTTCCCCTACTTTCACAAAATAGTTGACTTCTATATTGGCCTCACCCCCAAATGTGAATTAAAGTCTGAGACCTATGGAAAACTTGAAACTTGACAAGTTAAAACAGAATTCCTTGGTGCAACCACTATAGAAAACTGGAGGTTCCTCAAAAAATTAAAAATGGAATTGCCTTATGACCTAGCGATTCCACTTCTAGGAATGTAACTTAAGAAATCTGAACACTTGCCCTGGCCAATTTGGCTCAGCGGTTAGAGCTTTGGCCTTTGGACCAGAGAGTCCCGGGTTCGGTTCCCGCTAAGGGCTTGTACCTTGGTTGCAGTTTGTCCCCGGCCCCGGTTGGGGTTGTGTGGGTGGCAGCCAGTTGCTGTGTCTCTCTCACATCAATGTTTCTCTTTTCCTCCCTCTTTCCCTCCCACTCTATCTGAGGATAAATGCAAAAATGTCCTCTGGTGAGGATTAAAAAAAAAAAAAGAAACCTGAACACTGCCCTTGCTGGTTTGGTTCAGTAGTTAGAGTGTTGGCCCATGGGCCGAAGGGTCACAGGTTTGATTCCCAGTCGGGCATGTACCTGGGTTGCAGGTTTGATCCCTGGCCCTGGTCGAGGTTTTGTGGGAGGCAACTGATCGATGTATCTCTCTCATATTGATATTTCTCTTTCCCTCTCCCTCTCTTTCTTCCACTGGAAAGAGTGTATGTATGTATATATATGTGTGTGTGTGTGTGTTTGTGTGTATATATATATCCCTATGTAGACTGCAGCATTATTTACAATAGCCAAGATTTGGAAGCAACACAAATGCCCATCAGTAGATGAGTAGATAGAAAAAAGCAGTGGTATGGCCAAGCCAGTGCGGCTCAGTGGATTGAGTGTCGTTTCATGGACTGAGAGGTCTCAGTTTGATTCCCAATCAGGGCACATGTCTGGATTTCGGGCTTGATCCCCAGTGGGGGATGTGCAGGAGACAGCTCATCTGATATTTGTCTTTCACATTGATGTTTCTATCTCTCCCTTCCTCTCTCTCTAAAAATTCAGTAAAAAAAATATTAAAAAAAGAGAAAGCAGCGGTACGTTTACATAATGGAATGCTACTCATCTGTAAAAAAAGAAGGAAATCTTATTTTTGCCATAGAATGGATGGACCTAGAGGGTATAGTAAACTTCGATTTTGAGGCCCTCAATTTAACAGACTTGCAATTTACCGAACAACATTTCTGGTCCGTATGTCATATATGAAAATTAATACCCTGTTAATTTTAAAATGTTTTTAACCAAGATTTGCTTATAATAGGTTATTTTTTGTCATTAATTCATTGTTATTTTTAACAAATTTTAGAGAATAGGCCATATGTTGGAAAAAACACTAGTAATTTCACCAACATAAATAAATATTACGTATCTACAACTGTCGTCTATGTATATAAATCCAAGAGTCACAGCTCATAAACCATGTTTGCTGAATGATTACCATGTGGTCACACTGCATCTCAAGTCATAATTGGTTCTGTTGTCACCTGGTGTGACTTCCTGCAGCAGTTTTTTAATACGTGCTGGCTGATGTTCCGAACATACGCTAAACCATGCTCCAGCTCTGTGCATTTGTTTGCTGTTGGTGACAGGTGAATGCACAGTTACTAAACTTTCCGTACATACTTTTGATTATAAAAACATATCTACATAATTAAAAACAAGTAAACTAATTTGTCAATTTTTTTTATATATACATTCGGCAAACCTACTTTACTATAGAACAGACTTTTGGCTTTAAAGGACACCCTTTCACCCAAATTACTCCATTTTATTGAGGTTTTACTATATTATGCTAAGTGAAATATGCCAGTCAGAGACAGACAAACACTATATGATATCACTTATATGTGGAATCTAATGAACAAATAAACAAACAAAATAAAAACAGATTTATAGATACAGAGAAAAGACTGACAGCTGTCAGAAGTTAGGGGAATTGGGGGCTGGGTAAAAAGGTGAGGGGACTAAGCAGTACAAGTTGGTAGTTATGTAGTAGTCACAGAGATGCGGATTGCACCCCGGAGAATATGGTCAGTGATGTCGAGGTAACTGGGTATGAGGCCAGGTAGATGCTTGAGGCAGCAGGGCGGTGAAGGGGGAACACTCTGTAGTACATGAGTTTTCTGGCCACTTTGCTGTACATCTGAAACTGGTGTGGAAGGATATTCATTGTAAACTGTGGTTGAAAAATAAAAATAAACCAGAATTCTTTTTTTTTTTTTTAAATATGTTTTTATTGGTTTTAGAGAGAGAGAGAAACATTGACGTGAGAGAGATACATCTATTGGCTGCCTCCTGCATGCCCTCCACTGGGGATTGAGCCCACAACCCGGGCATATGCCCTGACCAGGAATCAAACCAGGACCCCTCAGTCCATGGGACGATGCTCTGTCCACTGAGCCATACCAGCCAGGCTAAACCAGAATTCTTTAAAAAATTTATTTATTTTTTTAAGTTTTTTAAAAATTAAAAAAATTTTTATCCTCACCCGAGGACACTTTTGCATTCATCTTCAAATAGAGCGAGAGGGAGAGATGGAGGAAGAGAGAGAAACATCAATGTGAGAGAGACATCTTGAGTGGTTGCCACCCACACAACCCCAACTGGGGCTGAGGACATACTGCAATTGAGGTACGTGCCCTTAGCAGAAACCAAACCTGGGTTTCTATGGACCACAGGCTGATGCTCTAACTGCTGAGCCAAACTGGCCAGGGCTACTTATTGATTTTTAGAGAGAGGAAAGAGAGAGAGAAACATTGATTTGTTTTCAACTTATTTATGCATTCATTGCTTGATTCTATAAAAAAAATTTTTTTTGTTCTTTATTGATTTTTTAGAAAGAGGAAGTGAGGGGGGAGAGAGAGAGAAACATTGATGAGAGAGAACATCGATTGGCCACCTCCTGCATGCTCCCCACTGGGGATTGGGTCCAGTCTGGGCATGTGCCCTGACCGGGAATCGAACCGATGATGTCCTGGTGCATGGATTGATGCTCAACCACTGAGCCACAGGGACTGGGCTTTTGCTTGATTGTTGTATGTGCCCTGACCAGGAATCAAACCCACAACTTTGGCATATTGGGATGATGTTCTAATCAGCTGAGCTACCTATCCAGGGCTAAAACAGAATTCTTACTGGAAAACAAATAATACAAAAATTTGTGTACACTGTAATTTGTGTACATATAATATTTAAAAGGTCAAGAAAAGACTGCACAAAAATGAAAGTAGTTTTGTGACTGTGGGAAATGTTTCTCTAATATATGTTGCTTTATATTTGATAGAAACATTAATAAATACATTTTAATATATATGGAAAATAGAAAAGTACAAAAATATACACAAGAAATAGATGTTAACATTTTGCCATATTGCTTCAGATTTTATTGTTTTTTAAAGGAATAAAATTACAGAAATAGATAAAGTTCTCTCATGTGCCTCCCTAGAGGTAGCCACTATTCTGAAATTGGTATAAATCATTCCAGTGCATTTACATTATGTATAAGTCCATAAAAGTATTATTTTGTGTACTTAAGAAATCTATATGAATGATATGCATTTTTTTCATTCAACTTTGCTAGAGGTATGTCTATGTTGATACATGTAGTGCTAGTTTTTTGTTTTTTTCTATCCTCACCCGAGGACATTTTTGCACTTATCTTCAGGTAGAGCGGGAGGGAGAAAGAGAGAGAAAAACATCGATGTGAGAGAGACACATCGACTGGTTGCCACCCACAAGACCCCAACCGGGGCCGGGGCCAAACTGCAACCAAGGTATGTGCCCTTAGCGAGAACAGAACCCCAGTCTCTCTGGTCTGCAGGCTGACACTAACTGCTGAACCAAACCGGCCAGGGCGATTACTATAGCTTTATAGTTAGTTTGAAATTTGAAATGTATGTCCTCCTACTTTGTCTTCTTTTTCAAATTCTGTTGACCATGAAGGGTTCTTTTTATTTCCATTTGAATTTTAGGATTAGCTTATAAATGTATGCAAAAGCCTTGCTAAGAGTTTGATAGGAATTGCATTGAATTTACAGATCAATTTGGAGAAATTGCCATCAAAACATTCATGAGTATTCTGATCCATGATTGTAGAGTGTACTATCTCCCCATTTGTTTAGGTCTGTTATTTCTCTCAGCGTATGTCTATTTTAAAAAATATGTTTTTATTTATTGCTTTTTTTAGAGAGAGAGGAAGGGAGAGAGATAGAAACATCTATGTGAGAAAGATACATCGATTGGCTGCCTCCCGCACGGCCCCTACTGGGGATTGAGCCTGCAACCTGGGCATGTGCCTTGATCAGGAATCGAACCAAGACCTCTCTTCATTCTTAAGTATCTTGTCCTGTTTGATGCTATTGTGGATGAAGTTATTTAAATTTAATTTCAGGTTGTTTGTTGCTAGTATATAGAAATATAATTGATTTTGTATATTGATTTTGTTTTCTGTCAACTTGTCTAACTTCTTGATGTATTATAGTGTATTTTAAAACCTAGATTCCTTAGAATTTTAACCATTTGTATACTTTTTGGGGGCTTTAGGATCTGTTCACTTTGCTATATACGAGAGTCCCAACCTTTATTAATTTAAAGAATGTATTAATCTTTGCTGTTAAATCACTCTTCTGTTTGTAATTTTTTGGGTTGCTTTTTTAAGTCTGTGTGAATTACTTTCGTGAGAAAACAGTGAGATTAAAAATCTGAAACTCTTTTATGTACTTACATAAATAAGATAATTTGGTCCTTTTTTTAGGTTCCTCTCAACAAAATAGACTATGAATACAGTGAACTGATATTATACCAGAATCAAGTGATGCGAGAAGCAGATCTGTTTCAGGAATCTTTGGAACATATAGAAACATATGAGAAACAAATATGTGATAAACTTTTGGTGGAAGAAATTAAAGGTTAGTTTACCTGCCTTTTCTTTTTCATGGCCTTAGTTAAAGAAATGAATAAACAGTATATATTTTATTCTATCCTAACACTTAAATAAGACATTATGTATCAGGTAACCTTCTAAACACTCACTGTTAAACCATTATTAACTAATATAATCCTTATAACAATCTTATGATGCAATTATATTCACTTTAGAGTTGGGGGACTGCAGAACAGAGAAGTTAAATGACTTATCCAAAGTCACACAGCTAAATAAGCTGGGTAGTACTGGATTTGAGGCCAAGAATTTTGACTCTGGATTCCCTTTTCTTAAGCAGAATGTTATGCTGCCTTTATATTTCACCCCTCCATATCTATGTACCTATATATCTATATATGTCTACATATGTGTGTGTGTGTGTGTAGTGAAATGATGGGAATAGTAAATGATACTGGGATCATCAAGAAGTCAAGATTCATTATTGTCTAATTATGAAGGCAGGGTCCTGATAGTTTGTTAAAAGTGTTCATCAACAAAGGGTCAAGCACATTTTTTCTTCCTTTTTAAAAATCCTCACCCAAGGATATGTTTCCATTTATCTTTAGACATAGTGGGAGGGGAGGGGGGAGGTGGAGAAAGAGAGAGAGAGAGAAAAACATCAATATGAGAGAGAGAAATTAATTGGTTGCCTCCTGCATGACCCCAACCAGGGCCAGTGACCAAACTGCAACCAAGGTATATGCCCTTGACCCAGATTGAACCTGCAACTCTTTGGTTCCAGGGCCGATGCTCTAACCACTAAGCAAAACTGACCAGAGCATGCATATTTTTTCTTAACAAAGCTTTGTTCGTCAGTTACCCATTCCATAAGCAATACTATATTAAATAGAATGTCCAACTAAAATAATTAATTTAAAACTAAAGTTAGTATAGTTGCAGGATTCTAAAGCTTAATAAAAATAATAGCTAACATTTATTTTCTTCTGTGTTTCAGGGTTTGATAATTGCTTAAACTGCTTTTTTTCACTTAAATTTTTAGCACTTCTAACATGGGTACTATTTACTATCTCCATTTTATAGCTGAGGAAACTAAGGCTTAGAGATATTAAGTACTTTCCCAAAGTCACCTCACCTTTTAGGTTGTAGAGTTAATTTCTAAACACATCTTTCTGACTTCACAGCCCTTATTTAAAAAAATTTTTTTAAATAGATTTTTTATTTTGGTACAGCCCCTAGCGGGAACTGAACCTGGGACTCTCTGGTCTGCAGGCCGATGCTCCAACCACTGAGCCAAACTGGCCAGGGCAAAATAGATTTTATTTTTTAGAGTAGTTTTAATTTAACAGTAAAATCGAGTTGAGGGTACAGAGATTTCACACATACTCTATTTCCCTACTCATGCATAGCGTCCTCCACGATCAGTATCCCCCACCAGAGTGGTATATTTATTATAATTAATGAACTTACATTAACACATTACCAACCAGGGTCTATAGTTTACATTCCTGTTAGCTCTTGGTGTTAATACACTCTCTTGGTTTTGACAGGTTTTAATGACATGTATCTACCATTAAAGTATCATACGGAGTACTAGTTTCACTGCCCTGAAAATCCTCTGTGCTCTGCCTGTTCGTTTCTCCTTGCCCCAACCCTGGCAACCACTGATCCTTTTACTGTCTGCATAGTTGTGCCTTTTCTAGAATGTCATGTATTTGGAATGATGCAGTTTGTAGCCTTTTGAGATTGACTTTTTTCACTTAATAATATGCATTTAAGTTTCCTTCATATTTTTTCATGAGCCCTTACATTTAACTGCTATACTCTACTCTAACTTGTTAATGTATTACAACTGACTGATTAGTTTATATTGTAACAGTACAAATAGCAATATATTTTTTAAAGGTTTTTATTGATTTTTAGAGAAAGAGGAGGGAAGAGAGAGAGAGAGAGGTAGACATCAGTGTCAGTGTGAAACATCGATCGGCTTCCTCCTGCACACCCCCTACTGGGGATTGAGTTCAAAACTCAGGCATGTGCCCTGACAGGGAATCGAACTGGCAACCTTTCTCTGCACACAGTGATACCTAGCCAATTGAGCCATATTGGCCAGGGCACTAATATCAATCTTGACTACAACACTGTTTTTCATACTATTAGTAAAATGTGAATAAATAATATTCTTGGTTCTGTCTTGTTCTATTACCTATAATTGGTGCAAGCAAAAAACAAAACACAATTATTTTTATGTTCTGATGTATTACTGTTATTTCTGGTTAAATCTTAACTTTCAGGTTGCTTTTTCTGTTTCTCTGTCTTTGATAGCATCAATAGGGAATGCAGTGATTAAAAAGTAGGTAGATATGATAAATATGGTCAATTTTGGTTTAAAAATTCTGCAAGTTGCAACATATATTGGTAATGAGGGTCATTTTGGGACCATCAATTTGAATATAAAGCTAATACTTTGTATTGTTTATCGAGACAGATTATAGTGTTTTTATTTTTTCAGTGAACTTTGCAGGCCAAGAGACTTTGGTATTTATACATTTACATATGTCTTTTGCAGCCATTAGCATATTAAGATACTTTTAAAAGCAGTTAAAATTAGAGATTTTTATATTGTAAATATGCAAGTGTACTTATTTGTTCTGTATATTCCTCTAGTAATAACCTTTATCTTATGGTAATAGCAGATAACAACGATTTAGGAATTGAAGAATAGGCTGTTGTCTATTATATCTTAGTGTAAGCAGGGTAAAAATTAGACTGATGGGAGCTAATTCTGATGGAATGGGGCATGTTTATAGTTTTAAGTAGCAAATGTGTGTGTGTGTGTATTCACTTTGTGCTTAAGCATTGTGCTAATCATCTTAAGTAAATTATCTCCTTGATTATCACAGAAGTAGATTGAAGTAGTTGATATTTTAGAGGTAGAGAAATAGATATTGGAAGTTTGTAACTTGTATAAGCTCACAAACCTGAAAATGGTAAAACTAGTAATTACATCTAGTTAGTTTTACTCTAGAGCTTAAATAATATGTAATATATAATATATAAATAGTAAAACAATAGTATATAACCACTGTTATTTGCTGTCTCCTCCAAGATGATGAAAGTTGAAATAGTATGACTTAAAGACATTTCAGAGGATTATTTGTTTGAAATAGATTCTTTGGAGAATGGGAAATCTTAGGGATAAAAGTTGAGATATATTCTTTTTTTGAGAATCTCCCATTTATCATAGTCTAGGTGTGCTTTCTATTAGAAATTTTGATCATCATTCCCCATGCACACTTTCAATTTGTGTGTCTTCATAAAAACCACATAAAAATGAAACCTTGTAGGTGTCCCACATGCAAACATGATTTGTGTGGTTTTGTGCTTTGAAGTGGTGTTTAGAGTTTTTTTTTCTTTACTGAGTTAATTCCAATTTTAGTGACCTGGGAAGGAAATAAAGAGGATTGAATGGAGAATTGTTTAATATATGAATTTATCAGGAAAAGTACATTTAAATCATACAGTAGGAAGGTAGGTATATTTCATTAGAATTATTTACCAATCTGTGTAGGGAGTCTTATACTATCTTTTTTTTTTTTATTCTTCACCTGAGGATATTTTTCTGCTTATTATCAGAAAGTGTGGGAGGGAGGGAGAGACAGAGAGAAACATCGATGTAATAGAGCCACATTGACTGGTTGCCTCTTGCACGACCTGATCAGGGCCAGGGACAAATTGCAACTAAGGTATGTGCCCTTGACCGGAATTGAACCTGTGACTCATTGGTCCATGGGCTGACGCTCTAACTGCTGAGCCAAACCGACCAGGGCGTCTTATGTTATCTTAAAGGGTATATAAAAATATGCATAATGCAAATATTTTTACTAACAAATTGATATTCTATATGTATATTTGAAATGTTGGAGGGAGCCAAAAATGAATGTTCGTGTAGTAGAATGTGTAAATGAAGGTCCATTTCTGAAGGCAAGATGTAAATTAATTGATGTTTAGTTATATAAACTGCAATATGCCTCCAAGGGTGGCATCTACAGGTCTATCTTTTATAAATGTCTATTATACTAATAATGTTTAGTGAAATCGCTGGGATCAAAAACGTATTAAATGTTTAAGTTAAATGAGTGTGACTTTAAACTTAATTTTAGGGGAAATGCTGTTGAAATTGGGAAGATTAAAAGAAGCCAGTGAAGTATTCAAAAACTTGATTGATCGGAATGCAGAAAATCGGTGTTATTATGAAGGCTTGGAAAAAGCTCTACAACTTAGTATGTAATGATTTTTCTCCTCTACCTTCTTTTAACTAGTGTTTGAAGTATAATAAAATGTAAAATTGTAATCATATTTGAGGACATATTTTTAGCACTAGAATTCATTTTACCATATAGGAAAATTATAAGTTAAACATTGGAGTAAAAATGAATTAAAATATTTATACTTAAGTGATAAATGTGTACAGATAATTTTAGGTTCCTTGACCCATTATAATGTTACCTATTTAGACTAGAGAGATGGGAAAGAAAACGAGTGTTCTCTTTCTGGGAAATGTCATAATTTTTATATATATATATAAAAATTATATATATATATGACACACACACACATTTTTTAAAATCCTCACCCAAGGATATTTTCCCATTGATTTTTAGATAGAGTGGGAGGGAGGGGATAAGAGAGAGAGAAAAATTGATGTGAGAGAGACACATCGATTGGTTGCCTCCCTCATGACCCCAACTAGGGCCAGGGATTGAACTGCAACCAAGGTACGTGCCCTTGACCAGAATAGAACCCAAGACTCCCTGGTCCGCGGGCCAATGCTCTAACTGCTCATTCAAACCGGCCAGGGCTTATTTAATATTTTTAAAGAATTACAGATCTGTTATCCTCAACCTCTAAATAAGAATTGGGCCAAAGAAATTTTGCTGAGAGTATGTGATATATAACGTTGGCATAAAAATTGTTCTCAATTTCAAACTAGGTTAATTTGTGTGGAGTAAATTGTTTTACACCTTTTGAAATTATGTATTATAACCTTCACCCTTTTCAGAAATCGAGGGTAGTAATTCAAATTTTCCCCAATATTTTCATAATTAAATGTTAGCAGTTAATATTTCTAAAATCATGTTACTTATGGATAAATATATGGCTGAAATAGTTATGAAACTGGCTCAGGGGTGTTGAAAGAGCAGAATTTTAAAATTTAATAAGTATGATAAATAGGTAGCTACCCATATTTATCTATAGTAATATGAACCATGAAGAAAGTTTATTTGTTGTATCCTAATCACTTATAAATTAATTCAGGCTTCCTGTTTGTAATTAATATTTAATGTCACAATTACTAAAGTATTTTTCTGAAATGTTTTTAAGAAAATGATGAAAATGTAAATGTTGGTTAGATCAGTCTGTTTTTGTGTTTTTTAAAAGGACAAAAGCATATGTCTGAAAGTTGGAAATGTGAGATAACCATGATATTTTCATTTAAAGTACCAGTTACTGACATGTAGTTAATAATACAGATTATTTACATGCTTTAGTAAAATGAGTATAATATATTCCATATGTCAGGACCCATACTTAATCTAAAATGTATTGATTACAAAACTAATTACATTACTTTATCTTTTTAGGTTCCTTAGGACCTTTTCTCCCCCATGGTAAGTTCTGGAGCTCCAACTTGTGACTTGAAATAGGGCATTGAAATGGTTTGGTTTTGTCTTAATATAACTACATTTATAAGACTTGATATATCTAGAGTAATAGAAAAAATTTTTATACTTACAACTTGTCATTTTCCAACATTAGGCCTAACTATGAGAACTGCTTTTTAAACAAACCAAAAACTCCAATGCAATAGCCTTCATGTGAATTTTAGTGGAAGGGTGCTTATTATTTCATGAAATCTCCAAATCGTTAACAACATGAAAATTACTTTTCACATATCCCAGTTCTAAAAATCCAACCACATTGGAGCTCCAAAACATATTATTGGGGGAAGGAAGGAGTCTTAAACAAAATCAAACAAGTACAGTGTTTATAATCATGATAGTGAATACTACATTTATTATGGAGATACGAGGATAGCACCAAGAGTTATTCTTAAAATAATTGTATTTCTGTGGTCTGAATGAAAATTTCCTTAAGTCTTACAGTTTAAAAACAGGTTTGCTTTTCCTGAAACGTCTGTAAGTTGGCTAATTGCTTATGTAAAATAATGCATGCAATCTATCTTTATAAATTATGCAGAATATTGTTTTATTTATTTTTTATTACTTTTTAAAAAATGTGTTTTTTTTTTAAGAGAGAAATAGAAACATCATGTGAGAGAAAAACAGTGATTGGCTGCCTCCTGCATGCCCCCTACTGGGAATTGAGCCTGCAACCCAGGCATGTGCCCTGACCAATAATCGACCCAGGACCTTTCATTCAGTCCGTGGGACAATGCTCAATCCACTGAGCCACAATGGCTGGGCTACAGGATATTGTTTTAGAATAATGAACCAGATCCAGATTATAATCTGCAAATTGTTGTTGCAGAACATCATATATATATAGTTTATATGTATAGCCTCTATATCAATGGTTCTCAAACTTCCTAATGCCCGACCCTTTAATACAGTTCCGCATGTTGTGGTGACCCCCAACCATAAAATTATTTTTGTTGCTACTTCATATCTGTAATTTTGCTACTGTTATGTCTTAGGTGACCTCTGTGAAAGGGTTGTTCGACCCCCAAAGAGGTGGCGACCCACAGGTTGAGAACTGCTGCTCTATGTAGTAGTATAAAGTTAGGTTGGTCTTGAGAGGGAAGATACACTTTCTGTTGAAGTGTATTTTATATCATCGTATTTGGGAGAGATGGTTACTACTTTAAATCTGTACTAATGGGTTTCTTTACAATGGAATTTCATTGAACATTTTAAGTGTCAAGGCTACCTTAGACATTTAGTTCATTGTTTTACATATAAAACATTTGCATTGAAGATCTTAAAACTGTTGCTTCTCTAAGTCTAATCAGTGGGTATTAGAGATTTCTTTGTGGATATATAGAGCAGCGATTTTCAACTTTTTTTCATTTCATGACACATAAACTAATTATTAAAATTCTGCAGTGCACCAAAGTATAGATTATATTTTTTGCCAATCTGACCAAAGAAAATGGGTATAATTTTGATACATTCACACTGGACGACTATTGTTGTGTTGGCCGTTGTCATTTTTCTATTTGATAATTTAAGAGGAAAGAGATTAGTGCCCCTGACTAAGTAGTTAGGTATTGCATGTTTTAAAAATTCTTACCTCACACCAGTTGAAAATTGCTGTTATAAAGGAACATTTTCTTTTTCATGGGTTGTGCACTAAGTAATATAAGACAATATATCATGAGTCTTGGCATCATATGTGTATATGATTTGAGTTGGATATATTGTCTGTTGTAATAAAAGAACTTTTGGATTTCTCCAGAGATTGGGTTTAAAATGGTTATTTACTGATTATATTATTTCACCGCCACAGACTTTTTAATGTCATTCTTACAAAAATTGACGAGCAGATTTAATATTGTTAATGCAATTTTTCTTATGATTTTAAAAGTTTATTAGTATTTTATCATAGATGAAAGTTTTGATGCTTTGAGTCTCACAAACATTTATTGATAATAGGCACTTTAGAAGAGAGGCTTCAGATTTATGAAGAAATTAGCCAGCAGCACCCCAGAGCAATTTCACCTAGAAGATTACCTTTGAATCTTGTCCCAGGTAATATTAGGATATCTTTTGTAACACTAATAACTGTTGAAATTACTCAGCACCATTTACATTTTAAAAACGTGTTTCTGGTAAAGGGTTTACTTTACATCTATACCATTCTTGGGGGTGGGAGTGGTCTGTTATGAATTTATTATGCATATGTTAATAAAGGTGTTCAGTATATAGTTATATGTTGGTTTTATGTATCATAAATTATATAACATTATTTTAATGTGACTTTAAAAATTAAGTGCCATTTTAGAATGTTAATTAAATTCCCTGGGGTTGATGACAAATTTTATGATTTAAGTGGTAGAAATTTTGAAGTTTTAGATCATTTTAGAATATAAATTCAAAGAAAGAGTTGTGAGCTCTTTGTGCCCACCGTGTTCAAGATAATAATATTACCATTTCTATCAAAGGCCCTCTCTCATCAGAATTGACCACATTCCTGAAAGTTGCTTTTTATCATTACATTGTTTTTATAGAGCCCCATATATTTTATATCCCCAGAAACAAAAACAAAAAAACCCCTGCTTTTGTACTTTTTGTAAATTAGAGTGCTATCGTTTGTATTCTGTGATTTGAGTTTATTGAACAATAGTATATTAATAACCTTGATTCAAGTTGTTGCATGCAGCTGAACTCATTCACTTTGGGGCTATGTAGGAGGTAAGAAGAATATTAACTCTTCAGATAGTTGATATCTTTGTTGATTTTATATAAAATTTTGCCTTATTTTAAAGTCATCTTTAGTTTTAGTTGGAAGTGTTATAGGTTATGAATTATTTATTGGGATTTCTGGTGTGTCTTTTGCTATAACTCAGGTCTTGGGAAGCTAATATAACTTTTTTTTTTTAATCCTCACCCGAGGATATTTTTCTATTTATCTTCAGATAGAGTGGGAGGGAGGGAAAGAGAGAGAAACAGAGATGTCAAAGAGACACATCGACTGGTTTCTTCCCACACGATCCTGACCAGGGCCTAGGATAACTGTAACCTCACGAGGTATGTGCCCTTGACCGGAATTGAACCCGAACTCATTGGTCTATGGGGCTGAAGCTCTAACCGCTGAGTCAAACCGGCCAGGGAGCTAATATAACTTTAAAAAATATTCTAGGCATGGGGTAAGGACAAATATATTTTCTAATGAATTCTCTTTTACAGTGGAAGTATTTGTTTACATAATTGGGCGATAATTTTATCCAAAAATTCATGGAATTTAAAAGCATTTTAGTTACTGACTTACAAAATATATGAAATACTTCTTAGGAATATATTGGTTTAGACAGTAGATATGAATTTTTTTTTAATTTTATTTTTGTTACAGATAGTTATCCTTTTTTACCCCATTGACACCCTCCCCCCACCCCTGCCCCCGCCCCCGCCCCCGCCCCCGCCCCCGTCGTCCATATCCATTGGTTATGTGTACATGCATATAAGTTCTGTGGTTTATCTCTTCCCTCCCCCCAGTAGATATGAATTTATTAAAAACATTTCCATTAGTACATTTCAGTTCCACAGATGATAAATAATGTTCTTCTGATCCTCTTTTTTGTTCTCTGTTTGTGAAATAGTGAGAGCAGATTTTTCTGTTTTCTGAACATTAAGTCCAAGTTGATTATATTAAAAGGCTTGGTGGGGAGGGTGCTGGTGTACTAGGACGTACTTCAGTCAAGTGAATTTGGAAAACTGGGTTAACACAGCAATCAGGTTTGTGTAGGACTTCTTAGAACTTTTAATATATGGGTAGTGAATTTCCAAGATGTGATATACTATGCAGGGAGCAGCATTTTCCTAATGAAAGTGTTTTATGGAAGATGCTTGGGCTCACATTTCTGTATCTTCTTTAAAAAACAAATAGCTTTTTGAAATAGAATTCACATATCATAAAATTCACTTTTTATTTTTATTTTATTTTTTTAAGTATCTTTTTATTGATTTTTTAGAGAGAGAGGAAGGGGGAGAGACATAGAAACATTGATGTGAGAGAGAAACATCGATTGGCTTCCTCCTGCACGCCCCCAACTGGGAATCAAGCCCACAATTCAGGCATGTGCCCTGACTGGGAATCAAACTGGGACCTCTCAGTCCACGGGAGGACGCTCAATCCACTGAGCCACACTGGCTGGGCTAAAATTCACTTTTTAAAGTGTGCAACTCTAGCCCTGGCCGGTTTTGTCAGTGGTTAGAGTGTGGGCCTGTGGACCAGAGTCCCGGGTTCAGTTCCCATTAAGGGCATGTACCTTGGTTGCAGTTTGTCCCCAGCTCCAGTTGGGGTCGTGTGGGTGTCAACCACTCGATGTGTCTCTCTCACATGGATTTTTCTCTTTCTCTCTCCCTCCCACTCTATCTGAAGATAAATGCAAAAATGTCCTCGAGTGAGGATAAAAAAATAAATAAAGTGTGCAACTCTGTTTTAGTATATTCATGGAGTTGTGCAACCATTGTCACTATCTGGTTTAAGAAAATTTTCTTTTTTTTTTAAATCCTCACCCGAGGACATTTTTCCATATTTTGTTCAGATAGAGTGGGAGGGGGAGAGAGAGAGAGAAACATCAATGTGAAAGGGACACATCAAGTGGTTGCTACCTGCGTGACCCAACCAGGGCTGGGGACAAATGCAACCGAGGTCCGTGCCCTTAGCAGGAACCGAACCCGGGTCTCTCTGGACCGCCGGCTGATGCTCTATCCACTGAGCCAGACCGGCCAGGGCAAGAAAATTTTCTTCATGTCAGAAAGAAATATGTACCTATTAACAGTCACTACCACCCACCTACCCACCCACCCCAACTCCCAACCCCTGTACTTTAACCCCCTCCCTCTCAAATCTCCCCCAGCACCAGCCAAACACTGATCTATTTTCTTTCTTTATGTATTTGCTTATTTTGAACATTTCATTTAAATGAAACTATACCATAGGTGGCTGGTTTTGTCTGGCTTTTTAAAAATTCTGTTTTATATTTTTATTGGTTTCTCAGAGAGAAAGAGAGTGAAACATTGATGTGTGAGTGAAATTGATCGGCTGCCTCCTGCATGCCCCCTACCAGGGATTAAGCCCGAAACCCAGGCATATGCCCTGACCAGGAGTCTCACCAGCAACCTTTTGGTGCACAGGATGATGCCCAACCAACAAGCCACATTGGTCAGGGCTTTCGTTCTTCTTATTTTTAATTTTTTTTTTTTAAATTCTCACCTGAGGACAATTTTCCATTTTTTGTTCAGATAGAGTGGGAGGGAGAGAGAGAGAGAAACATCTACGTGAAAGGTACACATCAAGTGGTTGCCACCTGCATGACCCAACCAGGGCCGGGGACAAACTGCAACCGAGATATGTGCCCTTAGCAGGAACCAAACCCAGGTCTCTCTGGACCGCAGGCTGATGCTCTACCCGCTGAGCCAAACTGGCCAAGGCGTCATTCTTCTTATTTTTAAATCAGTTTCAGGGTGGGTCTTATGTTTCACAGTGCAAGTGGGTATATTCTCTTAGTTTGGAACTTTCAGTTGCATTCTCATGCCTCTTATGAAAAGAAAGAAAACGTACATAATTTTAAGATTACAAACAAGATTTCATGGGTCTATTATTCCTTAATGGAACATGGGCTTCAAATTTATACTGCCTAGATTTATTTTCATCGTCAATAAAGTTTTCTAAAAGCTCTCAGTACGTGATAGGAAATGTTTTTTATTGAAAGATAGGCTGGAACGAATTGTTGATCGTGAAGTGCTATTTAGGTTAAAGTGGAATCATCCTGTATCCTCTGGGACATTGTTTTTGAAATGCTAAAAGGGTATTTTTACAAGATAGGTCTCAGTTGAGGGGTCTGATGGCATGGGCTTCAAAGGTCATCATCACTGTAAGGTTATACATGTATTTACGAAGCTCTGGTGAGCATATATAAAATTGTTCAAATACTAAATTGTACCTGTGCAAAAGCTGAATACTTAAGTTTTTTTTGCCTTTCTAGAAAGAATTTTATGTGTAATAAGAAAGGCATCTCACCATTATCAAAAGCAAATAAGAGCTTTTCCAAAAAACATGATGGGACTTAAGAATGCAAGGTGAAACTTTTGAAAAAGGCTTTCCAGTTTTTAAATATAAAGGCTTAATACCTACAGAGTAGTGAACATAGCAGAATTCCTGGGGTGATCCTCTAATAGCCTAAAATGTTAAGTTCTTTGAAAATAATCCAGGGATATAGCTACTTTTCAAAATAATTAGTTTAGTTCATAATATTCTGTTAGTCTTCACTGGCCAAGGGGAGAGAAAGGGAAGGAGATAAGAGCATTAAACATAGAATGCTAACCAAATTTTACTCTCTTTATTTATTTACTTAGAGATATAATTGATATATAACATTGTTGAAGTTTAAGGTGTAAAATTACTGATTTGATATATTTATATATTGCAGTGGTACCACTGTAGTGTTAGCTAACACCTCCATCTGGTCATGTAATTATCACTTCTGTTTTGTAGTGAGGACATGCTTCATTATTTAGAATAAATTTTCAATGAATCAGATAAAGTTTGATCTTGATGTTTATGTTAATCATTTTAGCGGTGGTTTTGGGGACATCAAATTTTTTTTTTTTTATCCTCACCCGAGGACATTTTTCTATTTTTTGTTCAGATAGAGTGGGAGGAAGAGAGAGAGAGAGAGAGAGAGAGAAACATCGATGTGAAAGGGACACATTGAGTGGCTGCCACCCGCACGACCAACCAGGGCCAGGGACAAACTGCAGCCGAGGTATGTGCCCTTAGCGGGAACCGAACCCAGGACTCTCTGGTCCACAGGCAGACACTCTAACCACTGAGCCAAACTGGCCAGGGCAAGCAGTTCCCTTTAAATGAGTTCCTATAATTACGTCACCTAGATCATTTTATATCTAATTGCATGATATATTGCATCCCAAATATTATATATTCTTTACATTTGACTCATGGCCCATTTCTCAGCAGCATATCATCTACGAATTTCTCTGCTTCCCTTGCCTTCTTCCTCCTTTGATGTTATCACCTCCCTCTTAAAATGCTTGTTTTTTAAGTAGTTGATAGCTAATAGGAAGATTCTTAACCATAGAAATACAATAGCTGTCAGATATCAAGACATATAATGATAAGCAACATTTATTGAATGATTACTGTATGCCATACACACTGCTTACTGCTATATACTTATCATCTTGTTTGAGCCATACAAGAGTACTCTTGAAGCTAGTGGTGGTGTTAGCCTCATCTTACAGTGGAGAAAGTGAGGGTTTTAGTGGACAAATCATTTGTGCAAGGTCATACAAAATAAGTGGAAGTTTTTACATTCCTGTAAGCAGCAACATCTCACTGTCTACCACAATGTTGTTAACTTTTGCTTTACATCAGAGGAAGTGCTGGAAAGATTTGATCTCTGAAATTACTTTTGATTTTGAAGGAAATAATGATGTATATTTAGCCCAAAGAGAAATTTATGTTACCTTTTTTTTATCCTCATCTGAGGACATTTTTTCATTTTTTGTTCAGATAGTGTGGGAGGGAGAGAGAGAGAAGGAGAGAGAAACATTGATGTGAAAGGGACACATCGAGTGGCTGCCTCCTGCACGACCCAACCAGGGCCAGGGACAAACCGCAACTGAGGTATGTGCCCTTTGTGGGAACTGAACCTGATCTCTCTGGACCACAGGCCAACGCTCTAACCGCTGAGCAAAACTGGCCAGAGCTTGTGTTATCTTTTTAATCTGTGATTTTCAAAAGGCTGTACTTTGTATATATTCTAATCAAAGATAAATGATAATCTGAAATCAGTTATTATAGTAAATTGAATTAACAAATGTTGTATCTTTTTATATTTGATAAATTTTCCACTCAGAAAAATTTAAATTTCTGTTTTAAATTTTATGATGTCTAATTATATTGACTATACATATTTTGTTCAGCATAATTGGTTATAACAAATAGAAATAACCACTTTGGGTTGAGTTTTTTTTATAAAGTGTTGTGATTCAAAAAGAAACATATTAAGAGTTCAATTCCTTAATCTTACTTTGGGTTGAACCCTTCATGACATACATGTATCTTTTTTTTTTTTTTTTAATTTTTTATTTTTTATTATTATTTTTTTTAATCCTCACCCGAGGACATTTTTTTCCATTTTTTTTGTTCAGATAGAGTGGGAGGGAGAGAGAGGAACAGAGAGAGAGAGAAACATCGATGTGAAGGGACACATCGAGTGGCTGCCACCCGCACAACCAACCAGGGCCGGGGACAAACTGCAACCGAGGTACATGCCCTTAGCGGGAACCGAACCCGGGTCTCTCTGGACCCGCAGGCCGACGCTCTAACCGCTGAACCAAACCGGCCAGGGCTCTTTTTTTTTTTTTTTTTTTAAAATGGGTGGACAAATCCATGTCTTTATATATTAATCCGTACTGTCTAAAAGTTTATATATCTGAGTTAGAGCTTTTGTATTTAATAGGAAAATGTTTTTAAATTACTTTTCTGCTTTCAAAAAGTGATACCAAAATTTTTTGGTAAGGTTTAACAATAATAGAATTATATACTTGATGTTGCAAATAGGATATTTATTTTACTTTATTTATTTATTTAAAATAGTCTTCTCTGTCTAGATGGTAAAGATCGACAGCATCTCTTCTTTCACTACAGCTCCATTTTTGCAAATGACTTCATTCATTCATTCATTCATTTATTTATTTTGGTATGTGCCCCTTGTGGGAACTGAACCGGGGACTCTCTGGTCTGCAGGCCAACGCTTCAACTGCTGAGCCAAACCGGCCAGGGCAGGATATTTATTTTAATTCTAATGTTAGAATGCTCCAGTGCTCGGTCTAACATCTAACGTATGTTCTTTTATTTGTTGTCTTTCTCACCCCTGAAATGTTAAGTTCCATGATTTTTAAATTTTAATCCCCCATATTGGGAACAGTGCCTGGCACATATAGTAGGTGCTTGGTAGGTGATTGTGGAATGAATGAATGGTGAAGCAGATCACTGGTTTATTTGGAAAACATTTGTAAATACTGCTTTAGTTTTCAAAAATATGTTTTGGCTGCTACTTGAATATAATACTGGTTACAGTAGAGCCATTTTATAGTCTTCAGAGTGCTTTATGAGTGTCTGCTGACAGTAGGACTGTGCTGGTTGTCAGATTAGGACAGGTATTTGCTAAGGGGACTATATTTAGAATGGATAGAGTAGGTTACATTTACTCAAAACAACACAGTCATTTTATCTATCTATCTTTGGAAGTGTTCTTGAAGACATTTTAAACCTAAATCTAGGGAAAACTATAGCTGCCAACTGATATATTTTGTGTTAGGCTTTTTGGTGATGACAAATAAGAAATCATGCTGACAGAATTTTGGGGTTTAAAAATTGGAGAGGGGGATAACTGTTTCTGAATTGATTTTTATTTATAAAACCATCTTGAGAATTGTTTGCATTAATCATACTATAACAAAGTACACTTTTGTTTCTAGGTGAAAAATTTAGAGAACTAATGGATAAGTTCCTGAGGGTTAACTTCAGTAAAGGCTGCCCACCCTTGTTTACTACTTTGAAATCTTTATATTACAATACAGAAAAGGTAAAATTTGGTCTTCATTCAGTTTTGCTGTAGTATTTTTACTAAATTATTTTAGAAAGATTTCCATGTAAATAATATGCTATGATTTAATCATTTTCTCTGTTCTAATAATGTTATTCACTTGAACTGAAATAAATGCATGTACTGTAAGCACTATTAAAGGGAATGTCAATCTGTGAAATTTACAAAGCAAAGACTTTATAAAAAGCATTGAAATGATTAAAGATTGTTGTTGTTTTTAATGGGTATACTTTTCTATAAATTTAACATATTGTCGCCAGAAGTCTATATTTAATTATTTTGTGATTAATCATTTATTTTATAGTATGAGGACTTTCTAATTTGTTATGTATGCTTTTAAAGTTAGCGTGGATAATTGAGTTAGTGCAACAGTAAAATGCCATTTGGTACTATTAGTTTTAACTCATAAGGCTACTCATATTTTAATAAATTTAGCTAGTTTTTGAATAAAGAGAATAATACTTTTCTGTTTTTTAAAATTAGAAAAGAGGCACATGGTTTTAAATTAGAAAAATAATTGGAAAATTAAAAGTTAATAGAAGACAAGTTGTAATTCTATTTCCAAGCATTGTTTCTTAATGATTAAGTTCTAAAATTTAGTTTTCTGTAGTCAGTTTTTGGAAGTGACTAGTGGATACGGAAAATATTTTATGAGAAATGTTAAAATGTTTTTAGTTAAACCTGTGTCACTTTAAATTTAGCTTTGACTTATAATTATTTGTGAATAATAAACTATTGAAAATAAGGTCAATAATAGGTAAGGTTGTAAACAGCAATTTGTATTGCCACTAGCAATGTGTATAGAAAGGCTCACTGTACGCTTACCAACATTAGGTACTGTTGCATTTTTTTTTTTTTTTTCGTGTTTGCTTTTCTATGGAGATTTTTTTTTTTAACATAAAGGAGTTAAACTACTTTTGCTGATCTTTATTTCTATTGTGGAATGTCATCTGCTGTTTTAGAAACAGTTTGGAAAGTCCTCTTCTGGAGAGTTGCTTCTCAAGATGGGATGAGAGAGGGGATTTTTATCCCTCAGGGGACATTTTGCACTGTATGCACACATTTTTGTCACTATTTTGGGGTTGTGCTAGTGATCTCATAGGTAGAGGCCAGGGATGCTTCTAAACATTCTACAATGCATAGTACAGCCCCCACAACAAAGAATTCCATTATTCATATATATTGGGCTAGGTAATTCTTTGTTATTGGGGACTATCCTGTTAATTATATGATACTTTGCCAAGTGTCCTTGATATCTACCAACTAGATGTCAGTAGCTCGCCCCCAGTAGCTTCTTTGTTGTTAATAGCTTTATTGAGATATAATTCATGTACCATAACATTTACCTATTTGAAGTGTATAGTTAATTGATTTTTGGTTTATTCAGAGGTTTGCAATTGTCATCACAGTATAATTTTAGAAATTTTTCATTACTCCAAAAAGAAACCCTGTGTCCTCAGCATTAGTCAGCCACTAGTCTACTTTCTATCTATGGATTTGCCTATTACATTTTATACAAATGGAATTATACAATATGTGGCCTTTTTTTGTTTTTTTTTTTTAATTTTTTTATTTTTGTTTAATTTTTTATTTATTAATTTGTTTTTGTTACAGATGTTTCTCGTTTTTCCCCCACTGACACCCTCCTGCCCTTTCTCCCCACCCCATCCCCAGCTTTGTTGTCTATGTTCATTGATCGTGCATACATGCATGTAAGTTCTGTGGTTTATCTCTTCCCCCACAAACCCCCCTCCTCTGAGGCTTGTCAGTCTGTACCCCACCTCTATATTTCTGGGTTAATTTTGTTCAGTTCATTATATTCCACAAATAAGTGAGATCATGGGATATTTGTCTTTCTTTGCTTGGCTTGTTTCGCTTAGCATAATACTCTCCAGGTCCTTCCATGCCATCTCAAAGGATAAGAGATCTTTCTTTCTTACAGCTGCATAGTATTCCATTGTGTACATGTACCACAGCTTTTTAATCCACTCTTCTACTGATGGACACTTGGGTTGTTTTCCAGATCTTGGCTGTTGTAAATAGTGCTGCTATGAACATAGGGGGTGGCCTTTTTTAGTTTAGCATTTTTTTACTTAGCGTACTATTTTCTTTTTTTCTCGATAAATTTAGAACTTTTTATTTAATACAATAAAAATTCACTTGTTACTGATAAATATATTAACAGTATTTCCTTAATAGTGTCAAACAACCATTAGGTCTCAAATTGCTTCTATTGCATCTTGTGTCTTTGTACCTTCAAATTCTTCAAATCAGAATTCAAACAAGGCCTATAAATTTGGTTTATCTGTCTTTACGTTTCTTTAACTTGGCATAATATTTTCATCCATGTATTAGCATGAATGAGTACTCCATTCCCTTTTATGGCCCTCAAGGTACACCCCTTGTGTGGACTGTACACCCTTCTGTTGTAATTGAGTCTTGATTGCTGTTGGCACCTCAATGGGAGGGATTTACTGAGGCTAATCATCTATAAGGACTGGCTATACCCACTGACCAGTGGCCTTTGACTCCCTTGGAGGATCAGTGGTGTAGGGGCCCAACACCCAGAGCAAGACTTATTTCAGCAGGGTTCTGGTACCCACTGAGTCCACTCATTGAGTGTGTCACTTGTGGAGGTGGTTGGGTGGTAGTGCTTTGATGTGGTCTGAAGCTGGCCACTGGGTGTGCTGGATCTGGGGCAAGGTCAGCCTCTGCCTGTGTTCTGTCCAGGGCCACCCAGCATAAGCTTCAGAGTGATGTGTAGATGGTTGCTGCTTGTGCTGGGCTTGGAGGTGCCCAGGAAAAGCCAAGTTGTGAACCAAGGCTGGCTGCTTTGGGGCCACCTAACGAGAGGTATGGGGCTCACTGAGACCAGATCCTGCCTGTTTGAGAGATTTTAGGAAAATATGAAGCAGGATCAAAACTGGCCAATCCTCTGGTAAAGCCTTTGGAAACAGCTTGGGTAGGCTGGAAAGTTGGTTGGGTCGGGGCCTTAGGGTATCACTGGGGTGGGGCAAACAGTGTGAGCCAGGTTGCTGGAGTCCCAGATATGGCAGTTGTCTGCCTGCCCCATGGGTGAAGGGCTCACCAAAGGAACTGTGGCCTCTGCCAGCAGGTCTTTCCAGGAGAAAGCTGCCCCCTCCAGCTCTCGCCCCAATGCCAAACAGCTCAGTTCTTCCCCGTATGTCTCTGGTGCCTTTCAAGCTGCCTCGCCAGTGCTGGAGCCCAGAAGGAGTGAGTCTGCGTAAGTCCGTGCGTGGGCCCTTTAAGAGAAGCTGCCTGGGGCTCCAGCAGCCTGAGCCTCAGCCTCCCTCAGCCTCATTTCCCGCTGGTTTTACAGTCAGAAGTTGTGGGGACTTCTCTTCCTGGCACTGGAACCCTGAGCTGGGCACCTGGTGTGGGACGGGGATCCCCTTACTCCTCAGGGAGGACCTTCCCAGCCGAGGTGTCCTGATTTTTATCCACCACACATGCCTCCGCTCCTCCTACCAGTCTTGATGTGGCTTCTTTAATTCCGTAGTTGTACGACTTCCATTCAGCTCGATGTCAGATGGTTCTGAATGATGGTTGTTCTGTAATTGTAAATTTGATGTGGTTGTGTGAGGAGGCGAGACCATGTTTATGCTGCCATCTTGACCGGAAGTCATGCTGTAGTGTTTTATACTTCCGTCTTTTCCTTTGCTGATTTAATGAATGAGAAAAATAGGTTTTCTCTAAGGGTAAGATGTATATTTGCACAGAAAGATAATGAATAAAATCAGTTTTTATTTCATTTTAGTTCATCTGCCAGGGTTAAAGCCTACATTGTGTGTGTGTGTTGTAAAATACATCAAATGACTGTAAGAAGAGGTGCAAATTAATTTTAGACTTCCATTTTTACCTGTAGTAGAAAAAATGCTTCCTAATATTCTTCTTTATCCATTCACTGTATCAGACTCTTGAGTGAAGACAATGAATCTTCATTAAAATTTTTGGTGTGGTGTTATAAGTGCATTTGATTCCAGTGAAGCTGGACATCAGTGCACAGGTATACCGAAATGAGTAACTTAAAACAACATGGAAATTGAGTACTTGATGAGACTCTGAATGGATGAAGCATCAGGTGTCTCAGCAAACAGTACTATATGGCCATCTACACACAGAAAGGTAAGATAGGCTGTTTCCCAGAAGTCTTTTTTGTGTTAAATCTGCCCCTGCGTGAAAGATTCCAGGATCTTCATTCTGTTAAAGAACGTGTGGAAATATGTGTGCCCTTTAGAAACTGGTGACAGTAGACACAAAGAATTATAAAAAACTTGGCTTGTTATTCAGTGAAAAAAGAGAGAATCATCATAAACTTCATTGGAATGTTTATATGGAATTATTTGGCTGTTGTTGGGAAACACCTATAGATTGTTGATTTTTCACTAAATTTGCTTACTTTTTTTGGAAAACCACGGGTTTGCACTAGTTTATTCTTTAAAAATAAAATATATAAAATAAAAATCCTAAAAAAATTTAAGTTGGTGCATTAACTATAATCATTGCATATTCCATCATATGCATCACACTTTGGGAAATACTGGGACTACTTTTGATAAAGAGCATTGCTTTGGAATTTGGCCTGGCTTGTAGTCCTGACTTCATCACTTATTTGCATGAGCAACTACTTGAATCTGATTCCAAATCATGAAGTTGGGGGAAATAGTACTTAAAGAGTTGGTGTGTGTTTAAAAAAAATTTTTTTTCTTTATCGATTTTTTTTTTTTTTTTAGAGGGAGATGGGGGGGGGGAGAGAGAGAGAGAGAGAGAGAGAAACATCAGTGAGAGAGAACATCGATTGACCGCCTCCTGCATGTCCCACACTGGAGATTTGGTCCGCAACCTGGGGATATGCCCTGGCTGGGAATCGAACCGGCGACCTCTTGGTGCATGGGTTCGCACTCAACCACTGAGCCACACCGGCTGGGTGATGTGTGTTTTAATTAAATGATAAAGTT